TTAGCAGCTAAACCGTACCCCGCAAACTGTTATTCCTTCCTGTTCTTTTTTTTCAACGAAGCTGTAGAGGAGTTATAGGAGCCATTGTTTTTTTTTATATGTAATATATATTTATATATATTTATACTTTATATGTATATATTCAACGATAAAAAAGATCGCTTCGATCGAGTCGATCGAGTGTCCGTGTCACCGTGACACGCGGTGACAACTCTCTCTCACACACTCTCTCTCTCTCTCTCTCTATCTTTTCAAAAAAACTGTAATCTTCGTGCGGCCGTTAAATCTAAATCGCTAATTACAATCTCATTTGGAATTTCTTTCTTGCGTTCTATTTGCCTCACAAATGAAACGTCGCTCGAAGATCAACATTTCGAAACCTCATTCTTGAACCCACGCAAACAAATCGAAAACAATATCTAATACTTTTCTTACACACGTCGCAACGGATTTCAAAGCGACATTAAAGTGTCATGAACATTTTGTGATTGAAATTTTCGATACCTCGCTGCGCGTTTTCCAATGAAATCGAAAAGTTTTATAGAAAAGAGAACATAATGCTTAAAATAGCATTTTGAGCAAATTGCTTTCCAAAATTGTATCCTTCTATTTCCAATATTTTTTACTTTTAACCAAATTAAAACAAAAAAATTGTGCCACATAATTATATCGTATAAGAGATAAGATTTTATGTATGCAGAAAACTACCAAAATCGAACAAAAAATCAAAAAGTAAGTTAGAACCGAACATTATCGTATCAAGAGAAACAAAAATTATCAAAAGTTATCATTTCAAACTATGCCATTAACAGATAACGTACATCATTCATGCTGATAACATTCACAAATGCGTACGAGTGCAACGTAATACGCATGCGAAACAAAGCACTTATTACTCGCTTGTAATTAAATCTTGCAGCATAACAAGTTATAAATAACGATTCGACGAGCACGTAAAGTGATAGATTAGCGAACGATTAACAGTTAAAGAAATATATAAAATAAAACACGTTTAAATCATTATGTGGTATCAATAGTTGCAAAATAGTTATATCACAGACAGCGTGAATAGTCCAACAGATTAAATGCGAATTTTACTGTAAACGCAAAATTTGTATTAATATCCAATATTTAAAATATAAAAGTATAGATCTCATATCATAATAATCATTATCGTCATTAGTAATAGACTAGTATTATCCCGAAAATATTGTAATTAAAATACATATAATATATAACATAACATATAATATATAATAAAATATAAATACATACACATAACATAAAATCCTCTGAATGAGTTTTTTTTTTAATCTCTTGCTGCATTATTACGATAAATTAAAAAAAGAAACTGGCAAATTTGAAACTTTATATTTATACATGCTACCATTGCATTCGCAAAGAATGATATCAGGATGTACGTGGTAAAGTATTTTTCATAAATTAAGCTGCATAGTGCTAATGTAACAAAAGAAAAATAATTTGTTCTATTAAATCGACAGTTTGATTTTGAACAAGACAATTTTTGAAATAGCTTGTTAATTCGATCCCGAGACATTACGATGTTGTAATATCGTAATATCATCGATCTCGTCTACGTCGACATTTGCACAGCGATGTTTCGAACTTTCTGCAGTTCGGTGGTCTTGCTCTGTCACTCAAATCATGACACGTTAATGCGATACACAAAATAAAATAGAAACGCGCCGAAATGAAACAATTAAAGGAGAAAGAAAGAATCGGTATCGATTGCATATAACTCGAGGATTATCAAGAGATTTCTTAAATGTGTGCAACGCACATGCGGCGTATGCGCGCACACTTTCGTATACTTTATAGCACGCAATGTATTACGTACGTGTTATGTGTAATTTGTGTATATGTATAAACGTGTGTATGTGTGTATTATGGAAGCGCGGAAGATATTCGCACGAGATTTCCGGAACTATCAAAATTAGATGTACAAAAGAAAACGAGACATGTATATCGGACTCGCATGGGAGAAATTCAATTTGTTTCCAACTCAACAACATAATCCTTTATCTTGAAAAATGTTTCCAATAATTTTTCCAACTGATTCGCCAACTCAGTTAGCAGCAGCAAATCAGTTAGCTAAACGGCATCGCTTTACATTCGGTGCTTCATTAATTTTGCTACTGAAGAATATAGCACGACATTGTAGAAGACAATAGTTCTGTCAATGAAAGCTTGCCACGTGAAAAGTAGTAAATGCTATAGATTTTTATATCGCAGCGAGAATTATAGCAAGGAAAATATGGAAAGTGGAAACGAAGGTAAATTTCTCTATTCTTTTTAGGCCCTCGTGCGTCCTCGCGTGAACGTCGACATCGAGCTTTGTACATTACCTTCGAGATCCGCGATTTTGGAAACGCAGGATCACACTTTCATCGCGAATGTCGAAAGTCTAACATAGAATCATAACTCCTACATAGGGCGCCTCTCGTACGTTTCGAAATTGATTGTTTCATTACACACTTTTTCTAGTCCAAAAACTTAATAGAATTTGTTTGCATGCTACAAAATGAGTAATAGAAATGTCAAACAGCATGTAAAAAGTATGCGAATATGCGATGTCAAAATGAAATATCGTTAGTTAACTAACTAACTACGGCAGCGAAAGGTACGAAGGACGCGTTTTACATTATCCTATTTTAGCATTGTGGTACGTCAGCTAGGTGATAATGTGTTTATATATGTGATATATCCGCTAAAAGATATTATATACACACAATACAATTACGGAGTAGCGTCACATTTATCATACAGACATTATTAACTTGGATGTATTTCAAATTGTGTAGTCAGCTAAACAATTCCTACGTTTATCCTAACTGCTAGGAGATTAACTAAAGGTCTTAATCGTAATGCTGTCTTATACCGCGTCTTACTTCTCTTGTTCACTAATTTACTTACATACTTAAAGAGTACTTAAAATTAATTTCCTGTAGGCATTTATATGTATGCATTAAACTCTTATAAACTTACGTCGTTCTCGTACATTAATCAACGTCATCGTAGAAAAGAAAGTAGTAATAATAGTAGTAATAATAATAGTAGTAGTAATAGCAGCAATAATTGTGTAAATTATGGACGAAAGAATACGTACTAATATAATCGGTTAAAAATCGCTTGTTCAATCGACAAATCACTCGGTGAAATGGTAGTATCGCATGGGAAAAAAAAACACAAAAAAGTAACATAGTATACAGACGCATGCGAATGAAAGAAAAGAAGAAAAAACAAAACGTAACGATTATTCTTTCTCTCTCTTTCTCTCTCTTTCACCGCCGGTCGATCTATCCTTCGACTCACTCCGGAAGTCGATCGCTCCTCTTCTCGAAAGGCACGAGAAAATGTAAATTCCAAGCCTCTTAGTCTCGTATTCGCAAGTTGTAAGAAATTTTTATGTCACGTAGAAAAAACTCGTACACTGTATATACGTACGGCAGAGTTAAGAATGATCGCAGAAAGAATCACACATTGCGTAAAAAGATCATCATTCCAGTTTCGATCCTTGCGATTATTAATGTCGATCAACACTGATTCAATAAGATAGGTGGTCGGTGATGCGATGGGAATGACGGCCGGGAGAAGTTGCTGTTTTGTCAAGAGGAACGTCTCCGGTCACCGGTATCGCTTTGACGAGTGATAAGATAGAGAAGACGAGCGATCGTGGACTCGCTGCTTTCCGTCTGTCGGATGTACCGACCAGCGCTACACAGCTTACGTACATTACGTCTACTCCGAAGGAACAAAACATTTGGGTATTCTCTGGGAATATTTGGCACAGATTAAACGGAATTTTTAATCCGCGACACGTCTCAATACGACGAGAACACAGAAGAAGAGAGTCACGCAGACACGCGCGCGGGGACGATACACCGGGGCTGGATTGATGGTTGATCGCGCGGGGACTTGTTCCCCGTAGCGTTACTCTACCATGTGTCAAAGTACGAAAGCATTGCGCACGGACATATTTTGATTAAATTTGGTTGTTACGACAGTCCACGTCCTTCTACACGCTTCTCGTTTGTCCAATGGTAATCCCGTAATAAGTATCAAAAGAACATACATCGTTATATCTTAATCTCTCCTTGTGTCGTTATCTCGTATTTTCTTAATTTTCGTAACAATATAAAAAAAGAACGTAAATATGTATTTTACACGTAATATATATGAATGTAATATATGTATATATCATACAGCGTACGCGGGCTTATTCGCTAGGAATATTATCATGGTAGTTATTTGCTTAAGTCTAAAAAAGGTGTTACCTACTAAAATAGAGGAGGAGGGAAGGACCAAGGGGAGCGTCATTTTGTGAAGAGAAACAGACTTTCCTCTAGAGGGATGGAGGGATTATAGGGGAACCTTTCGAGATTCAAAGGCGATCTCGTGGCAAACACTTCGGAAATACGTTCGGGAGGAATCATTAGTATTTACATGAGAAAAAGTGGGAAAGCAACATTTCCGTTTCGACGACTCGGCGACCAGGATTCTTTCGTCGAGTTTCGAGCTTGGCTCTATCTTCGCCTAAATTATATCCACGATTTCAAATCGCTTTGTCCCTTCTATTTAAAGATCCTTCCATTGGAACTTTCATAGTGACGCAACACACCGCTTTTTCTCGTCAGACACTACGCGATTTTTTCAAGGCGAAAACGAGCAAAGCGCGTAGTAGGAACATATGTAAAATCTATCTTGAAAAAAGTATCCCCGGTGATCATTGGTGATTGACGGGGACGGATAGCATCTTTCGTTCTCCAGCACCGGAGAATGCGCGCAATACGCAATTGTGATAACCGTCGCCGTCGTAACTCGTCTCTGCGAAGTGCTCTCTCCCTTTCTCTCTCTCTCTCTCTCTCCTCTCTCTCTCTCTCTCTCTCTCTCTCTCTCTCTCTCTCTCTCCTCTCCTCTCCTCCTCCTCTCCTCCTCCTCCTCCTCTCTCACACACCACACACCACACACACTCTTCTCTCTCTCTCTCTCTCTTCTCTCTCTCTTCTCTCTCTCTTTCTTTCTTTCTTTCTCTCTCTCTCTCTCTCTCAAATCAGCTGAAAAGATTTCTTCATTTCTGAACAATGAATCGCAATGATGTCGAGCGGTGGAGGCGAATGTATCGTTCAGTGTATAAGGCGCGGCGCATTGCTGGATCACGAGTGTTTCACCACAATTACGCCGGGCCGCTGCTGGGTCTGCTGTTGCGTGTGAAACTGGAGGAAGTGTTCGGTGTGCAGCATCCGTTGCTTCGTGGATGCTGTTGTAGCGGGTGTAACCGAGGACGTCGAGGAAGAGGAGGAGGAGGAGGACGTCGTGGTCGCGGACTTCGTTGAAGTTGAGTTTGCCGCTGTCTGCTGCTGCTGCTGCTGCTGCTGCTGTTGCTGCTGCTGCTGCTGTTGCTGCTGCTGTTGCTGCTGCTGCTGCTGCTGTTTGTTGGTCAACGCCAACGGTACGTCCTGCGCGGGCTCATCGCTGAACAAATGATCGCCCTCTAAATGACGTATCGCCTCGACAATCGTTTCTAGATTCTGCCGGGATGTATTTGCAATGTATAGCCTCGCCTGCGGCGTGCCATCGTCTAGAGAATTTGATGGAGAAGGCAACCTGCGGTCGAGGAATCTCTTGTTAAATTCTTGAATGAACAATTATCAAATATTCTGATCTTTTCTGAATGACGTGCTGATTTTTTTCCTGCGATAAATTAAATCTTGCTCACGTGAGAAAATGCTTGTAAAAATTTTTCATATAGGCTGTCGTATTGAACAAAATTACGTATTTTGAGAAGAAAGGAAAACTAGGGGAGACTTCATATTTAAAATAAACTTCCTAATTATCGATCGGATTCGTTCTTGTTCTATGCATCTCAGATAATAAGGCTTAAATAATAATGAAATGTTGAAGGTAAAAGAGATAGACATAACGCATACCTTTCTACTTCGACTTTGGGTTCGGCCTTTATCGCAGCCTCCAGAACGCTGGGTAATCGTTGCGGTTCCGCGGCTGGAGAAAAGGGTCTGCTGGGACTCGCGGTGATGTACTGAGGTGATGCGTTCTTAAAATCCGCGCTGGACGACGTAGCATATGTGACGCGACTCGACGATGAGAAGGAGTCTGCGGTGGTCTGATCCTCCATCGTCGTAAACACTTGATTCTGGGCGAAGGTGACGATATTCGGACTACTCGGACGTGACTTCTCCTCCTTGACTTCTTCCGGAACCATGTCGGCTGGTTGCGGTGACAAGGGCGGCGAGCTCGGATCTGGACTGGACGTTTCCACCGTCTGAGTGGAACCCACTGGCGGCAGAGACATGACCGACACCACTTGGAGCGCGGCCACTGCATCCTCCGTTTCCTGCGCCATTACGTTGTCCGTGTGCTCGATCACCTGGGCGAAAGCAAGTCCAGTTAAATGGCATCCCAATTGCAATACTTGTCTCTTCGCGATTTATTTATTCACAGCAAAAGCTTGACTGATTACACAAAATATCGTCAAGTAAACTAAGATCGGAAAACGATGTAGAATTAAAGAAATATTTGCAATATATTGTTGGAACCATTTAAACCTCTCGAGAATGAGTTCACAATGAAATTATTTCCTTGATCGTTTAAAAAGTAATATAAGATTACTTTTTGTTTTCTTTCAAGTCTTCAAATTTTTACGAAGATTCTCGTTACCGATCTAGTTTACGCATAAATTAATCTCCCTTCTTTTTTTTTAATTTTACGTTAGTTTTTTTTTTTAATTAATGACGGGAATACGAATTAAAATCGTTACCTCGTGGGGCTGATAAGTGATTAATTGATTGTCCCGGAATCTCTCTGGATACAACTGACTGTGAATAGTTCTCATCTGTTTCTCTAAAACCAGTCTCGCGTGACGTTCCCTTTCTAGCTGTCGTCTAAGCTCTATCACCTCGCTGTTGACAACGGAATGTCCCTCTGTGGTCACTGTGATTACCGACAACGGTTCGGGAGACATGCTGCCCAAACCCTCATCGCCGCTCTCACTGACGTGCATTGGTAGACTAACGACGACACCTGAACAACAAAAGAAACCAAATGAGAAATAAATAGAAGCGAAAGCATGTTCTCTTCCAGTAAAGAAACAAATATCTGAGCTCGATTGACGAATCACGCTATCAAAAAATTTTTTTTATTATCCGCATATCAATTTTTCTCATTTTTAAACATAATGAGATTTTTATGCTTTAGAATCCTATTTCACATAATTTGACAGAAACTAGAACTTTAGAACTTCATTGCGATACATTGAAATCCTGTGTTTTCAAGAAAGAAATGATCTAAAATGTTAAAATGTACATTTTATTCATTTTGTGCTGTAAAATCTTATCATTTGGTAAAATTCCAAGGCAAAAAATGAATGAAATGTACATTTTAACATTCGAAACCATTTTTGCTAAATAATTATGACAAATCTTAAAACTACATTTGAAAGCAATTAGGATGTTAATCGTGATTGATCGATAAAAGTGATTCGTCAGCATTAAATCCGCTTCGTCGCACAACCAACGACGAACTTTCTGAATTTCGCCGTACCATCGACGGAGGAAGCTAATTTACGATAGAACCGGAAATTGAAATTGTCTCGGCCAAAGTTCGCGACAGATATTTTCCGGCAGAGGTACATCGCCGCGACGACGACGGAAATGTTGCTAAAACACCACCGGCATCGAAAGATAGCCCACCTCTTAATCTACCTCTTAATTTAACCCTTGAAATAATAATGATTTTCGAGATGAATCTTGTTGCCCATCGCACGGTTCATTTAAAACCAATCCGAACATTTAATCTTCTTATCTTTAACATTTAACATTTAACAAAGAGCTATGATATCTTACGAATTAATTATCACTTATATTAAAAGCCAAAAATTTTAATATTGGAAATCCTATGGAATTTAAATATAAAAGTCTTTTTCTATATAATTTCTCTTTTCAAGAATAAAACATTGGAATGTTTGTTCTTCTTCAAATAAAGACAAAATTAAATTTCGCAAATTAAATTCTACAAAAGTTTTCTATCCTTTCTCGTAATGGGCTATCATCTCTGTATTATATTGAGCTCCTGAAATAGCTGGGTATATCCCTTCGGTGTGATACCACAAAGAATGTAATTACTTTCGCGAAAATGACGAACGGCTTCCTTAGATGCGCCCGCATTGATTACGTCGGCATGGACAAGATTAAAAAATTCCTGCTTCTGAAATTTGCCACTTCTGCCGCGAGATATAATCATGGGTGTATTAATTTCGTGATAGCCTAAACGAATGAAAAAGAAATCTGTCGAATTTATGGTATACATGTACGTATCGGGGCATTACGTGTGAAGGCAAACAAAAATTTGGAAAGCTATTATATTATTTGCCTATTTGTGCGATAGTTTCTGAAATTCAATCCAATCCAATTTCGCGATTGCAAAATAACTTATGATGGAAATTTCAACGTAGCGTCATATAAACGCGGATAAACTGTGGAATAAACGGATTGCCATGTATATCCTCGTAACTTTTCAAGCTTTGCTCCGATTATTTTTATTTTTTTTTTTTTGCTTTTATGATCGCAAATCCGCACGGGACAGTGCAACCACGGTTGCACGTGCGATAAATAATTCAAGTCCATTTGGAAAATCTCGTTATGCGACAAATGATAAATGTTAATTCCATTGCTTTTCAGGTATATACAAATGTTTGCGCAGTCCGCGCAAGAGTATTTTATTGACATATTTTTTATATTACTATATTTTTTGCACGATGCTTTCCACATTTATCATAATTTTTTTCAATATTAAAAAAAACTATGTACTGTATTTTTGTAACAGAATATATTATAAAAAATCAAAACCGTATTTTTAAAAATAATAAAAATTATTTTTAAACGTGACAGTTACCTTGAGTGTCGGATTTGCGTTTCTTGATAGGTACATCGCCACCCTCGTGTTGATTTACCAATCGTTTCAGTTGGCAATTTTGTGATAATAATTGCGTTTTTTCTTGCTCTAGTTGGTATATATATTCGGCAGTCTGTTGAAGTATCGCAGCCTGTAACACAAATAAAAAAATTACTCAGTTATCTTATTATTATAGATACTTTTTCCGTCATGGCATAACTTGCCGTATAAATCTCAACCTCGCATCATTTAAAATACAACACGTCGAGTAATCAGACATTCATATTTGCACTTAAAACCAAGTCGTAAAATGTACTAATAATAACCAAAAGCATTAAAATTCGATTAAAAGTTTTTAAAAGTGTCAAACAAGTCTGGAATCCGTATGATAAATCCAGAGATCGCCATTCACCAGGTGCCCCTTACGCATCATTCGCAACCTGCAGCGGGAGACGCGACAGGAGGAAGAAGAGAACTTCCTGTTTACATGCCATGGAGCTTAAAGGGTTTTACGTGGTCAGGGAGAAGAAAAAAAAAAGGAGACCACACCGTACGAGCCGATAACATCCGGCGAAGACTATCGCGTGACGTGCGTACTACATCGTAGTAAAACAGGAATAATTTCGAGAAAGAAACCGGCGGAAACAAAAGGACCGATTAATACCAACCACGCGGGGTAACGGGGCCGGGTGTACGGCCCGCACCTGCCGACAGGTGGTTAACGAACAGATGCCCCGCGTACGTTCTGATCGTAAACGCACGAGTGATGCCTCGACTCGTCTTTTCTTTGAGAAGCCGGTCCTTCGTATTATGCTGTTATATTAATAAATCGATGTTTTTGAAGTATGCAACATTGTTCTAATAATAAAATATTTTATTTTAGCATTCACCTATTAATATTAATTTAAAAAAAAAATCATATATCTTTCTGTATTAATTCGCGTTTTTTATCTTAGAAAATCATTAGTGATTAATTTTTTCAACAATCTGTGTTGATTTTTTTTATCTCCAAGATGTTACACTAAGCGTGCATCTTTATTATACTCATGTTTTAAAACTATCAAGTCTTTGAAAATCCTTCTTTTCTTTCTCCAAACCATGACAGGCAAAAAAAACTCCAGCGACGAATATATTTGAGATAGAATCTTTGTCACGTGATATACAGAAAAATAAAGGATATGCGGTCATACAAAAAATTTCACTTTCATATCAGAAGAGCACGTGAGTTAGGGATCACATACTTTATCACAGATACAGTGATACAGACGCGAAATCTCAAGAGAGGATTTTTCTTTTCTTATATGAGTTGACTTATGATCAAAAAACATCCATCGCTGCGATTGAGAAGAAGCAATTCGACGTCTCCAAAATTGCTCGCTGACAAAACGGTGATGTTGTAATATAAATATATCACCAGAATTTATGTATCGTCATAAATTATTCAGATTTTGCAGCAAAAAAAGATATATAACTTTGTATTAAAGATATGAAAAGCTGATTGCAATTTAACATGCAGTCAGAAAACATAATGAGGTAATATAAATGCGATAATTTTTTTCAGGTACTTTTTATATGACTTTACTTTGTTATAGCAATTGTGTTGCCGGAACCTGTCTACTTTTAGAACGAGACATTATGATCGTTCTCCTTTGTGGAATTTAGCTCCCAGTGTGTGTCCCATCATCTCACCCTCCATATTACATGGCCCATAAACTCATTCGCTCATTTATAGGGCACTAAACCTCACGATAAATCAGTTTATTATCTCAATATCATATTATAATAATAAGCTTACAACTGTTTCGAGCTAAATTTGCGATTGAGAAAATTTGACTTACTTTAAAATCAATTAAATCTAATTTTGATAGATTCTTATTTAATTAAAAATCTATTTGATATGTATTTTACGTAAGAAAGATTTAATAATTTTGATATTTCTCTCATATGTCATTTTTATACGAATGTTATTTGCTTTATTAATTATCTTAAATAAATTTAACATTAATCACATTTAACATTGTATTCTAATTTGAAATCCATCCCGATTTCTATTTCAAGTAAAATATAAGCTCGTAACAATCGGATAGAATTGCGTCTAAAATTATTTCTCACTGTGAAATCTTTTTTTTTAGAAAAATCCAAGCAACACAATCGAGTTTCTGTTTTGATTCATAACCGCGGGCGATGGTTTCTGAATGTAATTATAGAAATAGAAATTTTACCAATTTTGTTTCAATTCTTCTATACTAATAAGAAAATAAAAATTAAAACACGTGGATGAATTTTTAAACTATCGACTTCCGTTCCGCTTCCATTCTCATCTGCACATCGGTAAAAGTTTAGAATGGGACAGCTGCGATAGCTCGCGTTTGAATGGGGCGACGATGTTCACGATCGATATAGGAGTACAAGATGAGAAGGGCAAAATAATGCTGCCAGCTGGCGATCGAAAAAGAGGAAAAATTCGCTGCGATCGCATGGCTGAGTTCGTAGTAACCCCACCTGCTGAACTCGTTTCCATGAAGTAGAATGACAATTGCCGTGGAATCGAAACGATGTTGCATGTTGTAAATATGCATTAGTTATTCATCCGATAAAATTCAACAAATATGTACAAAAAGTATTGAGTGATTTTTTTTTTCTTCAATCAAATTTAGCTTAACTCTCCTTTTACTGTTAGTTTATATTTCTGCTCTAAATTACTCCGATTAATTTCCAAATATTCACAATACACATCTCTTTAAATGTAAAGATTCGTGATGCTGAACGTTTAAAAAATAATATACGTCAATGTGAATAACAATATTAATCGATATATAATAGTTTCGAGATGTATTAATTCGAGAGCTGGGAGAGATTAACTACCTTTGGTATAACGCTTCTACGTCGTTGTCGTTGCACGCAACATGCTAGATGCACGTAGGCTGTGGCATTTTACGACTGGTTACCACTACTACTACTAATATTACCACTACGCGCAACTTCCTCCTATCTTTCTCTCTCTTTCTTTCGCCCCCTTTCGTCCCTTCCCGATCCCTTTCACACTTTCTCCCTCTTCGTCTCGCAGGCTCGCTCCAAGGGCTCGGTTCGCCTCGTCTTTCCTTCTTCGACCCGCAAGAACTTCCCTGTCGAGGGAATCGAATCGCCTTCTTCTTATTGCAGAGGCAACAACGGCATTCCAAAGTACAGACGCATTCGGGTTGCGAGAAAGAGAAAGAGCGCAGCCTACCGAACTCGCCCTCATTCGACTGCACTCATGCGATCGTTTAACAATTCCACGCGCGAGTCCAGCAGGAATTCTCCGCTATCGCGTTGCCCTGTGCTCTGTTATTCTCGTTTGCAACGGTGAATATCTGCCTCCCATCCCTCATCCTCTTCAACTACAAATTACCATCACGATGGTAGACATTCAATTGAAACAGAATCAAAACGATACAATAGTATCATGCAAGATGTCAACTAATATTCTCTAGAAACTCTATCCGGAATTAATAAGTTTCTTTTTCTTCCTTTCTTCTACCTTTCTATAGCCGTTTTTCTGATTTTTGCCGTTCCCATGTTGCAATATGATTATATATTTCGCAAGAGAATTAAATATGCGGATCTCTGCGAAATCCAATTAGAATTCGCAGCGTGAGGACAAAGAGGAAACGAGGTCAGACTGCCGCATGCCGAAAAAAATATAAAAAACGAGGCTGTAGGCTGCGGCCGTTTTCGAAGCACCTTCCTGGAAAGGAACCCTTTGTGACCGCGCGCCGTATATGCTAAGTAAGCAGCTTCGCCGGCGACCTAAGGTGAAACCAGAGATGCCAGAAATTCGAACCGGCCTACGACGACGGCGCAGTGCGGCTGAGGCGAATCGCTGGACCGGCCGTTGAAAAGAAAGACAACTGGTATCCGCTTTCGTTTACGGTGACGAAATTGCGACGTAATATGCTATAAAACTAAGTTTCGCGCTATGCCGTAACGTAGAGCTAATCTCCCCGGTTTAGCTGAGAAAACTTGACATTAAAAGCGACTCTTTGATCAGTGAGAATTAATATTTGTGAGAAAAAATTTTTTATAGTCGCTTTTAAATAAAATGTTGCTATATATTAAACTTTTAAATAACTTAAAAATTTTATATTACATCTTGCAAATAACATGATAAAAGTGAGATGATCTGCAAACGAAATGACTGCTTGGATTTTATAATGCATGCGCGATATAATTATAAAAGAAACTAATAATAATTGAATAAGTTTTTTTATCCAAGTTATGCTTAATTGTAATCAGAGCGACGACGAATGCGCCGCTTATTATTTGTCTCTCAAACGGACACATATAAAATTTCCTATAATTATTACCAAACGACGTATTATTTGCACGGCGTAGCAAACAATTTTCGCGTGACGCGAAATTTCGAGTTTAAATCGACGCTCGAGTATCGCGAAGTATAATATTCCGCGAAAGATATTTTGTTTCGCTGTGTACTCCATTATTACTTCGCTAGGGAGAATTATAAATCGAGCGTATTTGTTCGTCCGTCACGGTACGTTGCCGCGAAGCGTCGCGACGCCAAACGACGGCACCGAAAGCGCTCTTCCATGCGAACGCGGGAACGGAAATGTGTTTCTCATGAAAAGCTCTATCGTCGTGTACCGCGCATTCTTTTCTCTATCTTCGCTTCTTTTCCTTCTCACTCTGTCTATGTCGCGGTTTTAAACTTACTCTATCATCGTGCTGTAATTAAAAACATTTATTGTCACTTCCTTATACGCGACGTGACAAGTCCGTCCAACGAATACGCGCGCCTGAACAATATTCTGCAGCTTTTACTTCTCTCAAAGCGGATGGACGGCTGTGCGGATTAATTTTTAAATCGCGTTAAAATGACCGTCGGTTCGTATTCCAATCTCGAGAGATAGTATATTAAAAGTGCTCGTGCCGCGGCAATTATTCCCTTTATGAACGGAAAATCTCTACAATTATTCTGTCTGCTGTTAGAACATGGTCATCGTTTGAGCACGGTAGAAAACTTAATGTGAATATTTTAATGCGATTAATCAGTATTTTATTAGCAGCTTTATAGATATTTATTATCAATTTATTCATGGAATTTGCGCTTACGCGGTTTTGTTCTTTTATATCTATTATAAAATATTACTAAAT